ATGGGAACAGATACAGAGACACATACCCAAACATTTGGCAGAGTTTGTGGAAACCTGCAGATGAAGGGAAGGAAGGATTGTATGAAAGATTGGAGTCGAAGACATCAGGAAAACATGGCCCACAAAGTCAGAAGTACCATAGACTGCTCAGGCCTTCTAACTGAGACCCATGTTCAGGAGGTCTTGGTCGGTCCTATGCTGGTTTTCCATCCATCAGTCTGGGGTCCATGAGCTCCCCTTGTTCAGGTCAGCTGTTTCTGTGGGTTACTCAAGTATGTTCTTGAAATCGTTGCTCATCACTTCTCCCTCTCTGCAACTGGATTCCAGGAGTTTGGTTCAGTATTTAGCTGATATGATAGTAGATATCTGCTTCTGCTTCAGTTAGCTACTGAATGAAGGCTCTAGGATGGCATATAGGGTATTCATCAATCTCATTATCAGGGAAGGACATTTAAGGTATCCTCTCCACTATTACTTAGATTGTGAGGTGGAGTCATCCTTGTAGGTTTCTGGACATTTCCCTAGTGCCAGATTTCTCTTTAAATCTATAATGGCTCCCAATTTTTAATAGGGTTATTTGGTGTTTTGGTGACTAGTTTCTTGAGTTCTTTGTATATTTTGGAGATCAGCCCTCTGTCAGATGTAGGACTTGTGAAGATCTTTTCCCAATCTGGTGCTGCCATTTGGTCTTATCACTGTGTCAGTTTGAGGAGGTCCCATTTATTAATTGTCTGTGATACTGGAGTTATGTTCAGGAAGTAGTCTCCTGTACCAATTTGTTCAAGGGTACCTACCACTTTCTCTTCTAAGAGGCTCAGTGTGGCTGGATTGATGTTGAGGTCTTTGATCCATTTGGACTTGAGTTTTGTACATGGTGACAGACATGGGTCTATCTGCAGTCTTCTACACATTATCATCCAATTGTGCTAGCATAATTTATTGAAGGTGCTTTCCTCCTCCTATTGTATACTTGATGGGAGATGTCATTCTGTTAATATGCTTCTCTTATTGGTTAATGAATAAAGCAATGTTGGCCAATAGGAAAGCAAGATAGGCGGGACTAGGATACAAGGAGGATTCCAGGAAGGAGTATGGAGGAGTCAGCATGTAGAGACTGGAGACAACAGAGGTCCAGGCCCTCTCTTCAGTAAGATGAGACCACAGGAAAATACTTAGATTAATAGAAATGGGTTAATCATTAAGACTGAGCTAGCCGATAAGAAATTAGTATCTGGCCAACAGCATTATATCAAACACAGAGTCTCTGTGTGTTATTTGGGGCTGGTGCAGATCTGGGCCCAGGTCAGCAGGAAAAAAAACCTACTTGTAACATATACCTTTAGCTGTTTTGTCAAAAATAAGGTGTTCGTAGGTGTGTGGTTTAATATCAGGATTTTTGATTCTATTCCATTGGTCTACCTGTCTAATTTTTGTGCCAATACCAGGATGTCTTCAGGACTATAGCTCTATAGTAGAGCTTGAAGTCGGGGATGGTGATGCCTCCTGAAGTTCCTTTATTGTACAGGGTTGTTTTGGCTATCCTGGGTCTTTTGTTTTTCCATATAAAGTTGATTATTATCCTTTCAAGTTAGTGAAGAATTGTGCTGGGATTTTAATGGGGATTGCATTGAATCTGTAGATTGCTTTTTGGCAAGATTGTCATTTTTACTATGTTTGTTTTACCTATCCAAGAGCATGGGAGATCTTTCCATTTTCTGGTATCTTCTTTAATTTCTTTCTTTAAAGACACAAAGTTCTTGCTATATAGGTCTCTCATTTGTTTGGTAAGCATTACCCCAAGATACTTTATGTTGTTTGTGGCTATTGTAAAGAGTGATGTTTCTCTGATTTCTTTGTCATCCGTATATAATAGGGCTACTGTATTTTTTTTTTTGAGTTTATCTTGTAAAAATGGGGTACAGAACTGAAGAGAGAATTCTCAATAGAGGAAATCAAAAGGCTGAAAGACACTTAAGAAACTGCTCAACATCCTTAGCTATCAGGGAAATGCAAATCAAAACAACTCTGAGATACCATCTTACTCCTTCCAGAATGGCTAAAATTAGGAACACCAATGACAACTTATGCTGGGGAGGATGTAGAGAAAGGGTAACAGTCCTACACTGCTGGTAGAAGTGCAAACTTGTACAGCCATTTTGGAGATCAGTATGGTGGTTCCTCAGGAAAATGGGAATCAGTCTACTACAGCGCCCAGCAATCCCACACTTAGGCATGATCCACATCCCTGCAACAAAGACCTGTGTTCAACTATGTTTTTAGCAGCATTACTTTTAATAAAAAGAACCTGGAAGCAACCTAGATACCCCTCAACTGAAGAATGGATAAAGAAGATGTAGCACATATACACAATGGAATACTACTCTGCAGAAAAAAAACAAAGGTATCTTGAAATTCGCAGGCAAATGGATGGAACTTAAAGAAACCATCCTGAATGTGGTAACCCAGGCACAAGAAGAGGAACATGGTATGTACTCACTTATATATGGATTTTAGACATAGAGCAAAGGATCACCAACCTATAATTCACACTGCCAGAGAAACTAGGATACAAGGAGTAACCTAAGAAATTCATACAAGGTCCCTCACAGAAGGGGAAAGGAACAAGAGCCCCTGAACATATTGGGAGTGGGTGGGGGCAGTGAGTGGAGAGGGAGCTAGGAGAAAGAGAAGGGGAAAAGAGGAAAGCATGTGGGACTAGGAAGATTGAGTCAGGGGAAGAATAGATGAGTGAGAGAGAGAGAGAGAGAGAGAGAGAGAGAGAGAGAGAGAGAGAGAGAGAGAGAGAGAGAGAGATAAAAGAGGGAGCCATTATAGGTTTGAAGAGAAAACTGACTCCAGAGAAATGTCCAGAGACCTACAAGACTGACCCCAACTAACAATTTGAGCAACAGTGGGAAGGCTACCCTGAATGCCCTTCCCTGATAATGAGATTGATGACTAACTTATACACCATCATAGAGCCCTCATCTAGTAGCTGATGGAAACAGAAGCAGACACCCACAACTAAACACTGAGCCTAAGTAGAATCCAGATGCAGAGAGGGAGGATAAGAAAATGGGGTCAAGATCAGGCTACAGAAACCCACAGAGACAGCTGACTGAACAAGGAGGAGCTAATGGGCCCCAGACTGATAGCTGGGCTTCCAGCATGGGACTGATTCAGACCCCCTGAATATGGGTCTCAGACAGAAGGCCTGGGCAGTCTAAGGGACCTCTGGCAGTGGAACCAGGATGTATTCCTGGTGCACAAAAGGACTTTGTGAGCACATTCCCCGTGGAGGGATACTCTCTTAACCTAGAGGCAGGAGTGGGGGCTAGTCCCAATTCCAAATGACTTGACAGATTTAGATGACCCCTCCTGGAAGGCATCATTTTACATATGAATTGGGGAAGGGAAATGGGATGGGAGGGTGGTCGGGGGACTGCTAGGGTGGGAGAAAGGGAGGGAGAAGTAACTGGGATTGATATGTAAAATAAAAAAAAAAAAAAGCTGTAGTCAGACTCTGCATCTAAAACAAAACAAAGCTGGCATCTTTGCCAGATACAGTGGTGCACACCTATTATCCTAGCACTCCAGAGTCTGAGGGAGGCAGGAGGATCTTGAGAGAAAAAATGTGTAATGGCTCCCTCTATTACAGTATCTCTTCTACTGTTCTCTATTCTTCCTGCTCCCTCCTATTCTCCTCTCCCCTCCTCTCTTTCTCGTAACTCCCTCTCTACTGCTCCCAATTTGCTCAGGAGATCTTGTGCCTTTCTCCCTCTGTGGGGGACTATGTATGTCTCTCTTATGGTCCTCCTTGTTTCTTAGCTTCTCTCATGGTGTGGATTGGAGGATGGTGATCCCTTGCTCTATGTCTAAAATCCATATGAATGAGTATATACCATGTTCATCTTTTTGTGACTGGGTTACCTCGCTCAGGATGGGTTCTTCCAGTTCCATCCATTTACCTGCAAATTTCAATATTCCATTGTTCCTCCCCCACCCCCAACAGGGTAGTTCTCCTCTGTATAAATGTACCACATTTTCTTTATTCATTCTTCAGTTGAGGGGCATCTATGCAAATCAAAATAACGCTGAGATACCATCTTACTCCTGGCTGAATGGCAAAAAAAAAAAAAAAAAAAAAAAAAAAAAAAAAACCACCAATGACAGTTTTTAAATTTGTTTTTAAATTTTTTTTCTATATCAGTGAATATTTTACTCATTTCTTTTTATTCTAGGAATCATATCTAAGGCCTCACTCATATTAATCATGTATTCTAACATCGAGTTACACAACTCATTTTATAATATAAGCATAAACTGTGACCAGAAATGTATTTAATATAATGGAATGTTAAATAACAGATTAATACTGAGGATAAGAAACAGAAAAAAAATCTTTTTGTGTTGTTTTCTTTTATAAAGAGAAGATATGATGGATAAATTTAAAATCTGGTAGAATCATATTTGCACTTATGCATATATAATGAAATGTTATTCAGCCTACTCCCCACCCCCACCCAAGGAAAGGAAATCCTTTCATGGCATAGATGAACACAGAGTACAATAAGGCAGCCCAAAGAGACAAATGACTCATGTTCTTTCTTATTTATATGGAACATCTAAAAATGTGAGCTCTGAAGAGCAGACTGTTGAGTGGTGGTTATTATAGGGTGAATTAGGGAATGGAGAAAAATCACCAATGATAGATTATGCTGGAGAGGAAGTGAGGAAAGGGGAAGACTCCTCCACTGCTGGGAATGCAAACTTGCACAGCCATTTTGGAAATCAGTATGGAAGTTCCTCAGGAAAATGGGAATCAGTCTACCACAAGATCCAGCAATTCCACTCTTAGGCATATACCCAAAAGATGCACATTCATACAACAATCACATCTGTTCAACTGTGTACATAGCAGTATTATTTGTAATAGCCAGAACTTGGAAGGGACCTAGATGGCCCTCAATAGATAAATTAAAATAAAATCTGTGTTGCCATTATAAAGAGATTTTCTTCTTGCAAAAGACTCTAATTAGGGCCTCTTTTATATCTCTGTTCCTCAGGCTGTAGATGAAGGGATTCAGCATGGGAGTCACTACTGTGTACATCATGGCCATGGCAGTTTCCTTCACAGTAGAATTATTAGTTGATGGAAATATGTAGAGACCAATAATTGTCCCATAGAACAGTGAGACCACAGAAAGGTGGGAGCCACAGGTGGAGAAGACCTTGTGGATAACCCGAGTAGATGAAACCTTTAGGATGGAGCAGACAATATGTACATAGGACACAATGATGAGTAAGAATGGGACAACAGTAACAAGCCCTCCAATGGTAAATATCATCAATTCATTAATATGGATGTCAGAACAGGCCAACTTGAGTAGGGCAGATATGTCACAGAAAAAATGTGGGATCATGCTGTTCTTACAGAATGACAATCTAGCTAAAAGTAAAGTGTGCAACATGGAATACAGCATGGTAAGTACCCAGCATAGTACCATCAGACACATACAGAGCTTGGGGTTCATGATGGTGGTGTAATGAAGGGGAAAGCAAATGGCTACATAGCGGTCATAGGCCATGACTACAAGAAGGAAGCTCTCCATGGCTGCAAAAACTATTAAAAAGTACATTTGTGTCAGACAGCCTGCATAGGGAATGGAGGGTACTTGGCTCTGCATGTTCTGCAGCAATTTGGGCATTGTGACAGAGGAGAAGCAGAGGTCAGAGAAGGACAAGTTGCTGAGAAAGAAGTACATGGGTGTGTGGAGATGGGAGTCCAGTAGGATGAGAATGATGATGATGAGGTTCCCCAGGACAGTGGTGAGGTACATGGCCAGGAACAGGGCATAGAACAGGTGCTGGTGCTCTGGAGGGATGGGCAGGCCCAGGAGGAGGAACTGGGAGATGACAGTTTGGTTGTTCATTATCATTTCTTCATCTCTAGTATCCAAATGAGAAAATATCTGGGTCCCTTAAAATTCAAAGTAAAAGTGGACATACATCTAGGACAGCAATCATTATAATTATAACCTTAAATTCCAAATGTCTGTAATCATTAAGGATTTTTTTTTCAACATCTCTTTAGTAGGATTCTATCTCTGATCCTTCCTAGATATTTCTATGCATTTCTACTGAGATACCAAGTGCTTCTCTCTCTTTCTGTCTGCTTATCCTTGGTAACTGTTGTATGTGCATTTGTACTTTGCGTTATGAAATTTCGTATAATGATGTTCTTAAAAAATAGCATGAGTTTTAGCATCATAATTTTATATAAATTTCAAGAAAATCTCATACACTCCGATGCCTTAGATTACCATTTCAAACTCAGGCATGAATGTCTCTGTAACATATAGATTTTTGCTCTACTGTTCACCAATCATCTCCCCTCCACTGCATGTATGACAGGCATCAGGAGCTCAAAGTCCCCAAGTGAAATTCATGTCTTCATTTTGTTGTCTCCCAAAGCATTCCTCATTCTCTTTCTTCTCCAGTATCCTATAGTATAGTAAACGAAATTCATGTTTGAGTCATAAATCTGTGAATTTTGATCCATTCATTTTTCCTTATCTTGAACTACTGTCACACATTATACAGAATCTCCCTTCATTCTGCACCTATCTCATCCATTACTTTGTGAGATTATATCCATATATCTGGATCACATCTTTTTATTACAGGAATACATAAGCAGACTCAGTTCATGTCCTTGTTCTCATGTTTCCTGACGTTTCTCTTCTCCTTCAATCTGCTTCATTTACACTGGGGCATTCCAACAATCATTTAATCTGTAGACTTTGAGCAAAGTAACTAGAACTTCATATGATGATGAACTTCAAGCAATCAGATGAAGGAACTAGGAAAAGGACTGTCCATTGCAGAAGAGTTTGCATATTCTGCCTGAGATAAAAATCTGTAACCTTCTTCTCAAGGAATCCAATGTGTAGACAGTTCTTCACATGTTAACTTTATCAGCCTCTAACACTGGGCAGTCTGTGTACTAAGTCACATGCATGCACACACACACACACATACACATATACATACACATATGCCCAACACAAACATATACATGTTAATCTCTTATTATTGACAACCCTGGTTAATGTATCTATCACAAGTTCCAAAGCTTAGGAAGGAGGAGAAACATAAAGGGATATGAGACACTTTCTCTTATACAGAACAACCAAGTCTGACTGATTGTATCTTCACAGACCAACTAGGTTTAATACAGCTGAATTAAGAGTTTGCACATTTAGAAATTGTAGATTAGCATGGCAGTGGAGGAAGACAAGCAGGAAAAATATCATGGAACATTTAAAACTGCTGAGCATCTGATTCTGACCTCAAACATGAAGCACTCCTGTCTCTGCTTCTCAAACACTGGAGTTATAGGAATGTGTCATTGTGCTCAGTTTCTCCTTCTCCATTAAATGAACTGTACCTTTGTGTTAGGCAGGCATGTGTGTAAAGATTGTATCCAGACTAATATCAACTGTTACTACTGAAGGGCCAATATGCTTCTTCCCTTCTATAGCTGTTAAGTCTGCCATTCTCAAATTAAAAGGCATGTAAAAATCCCAAAGAATATGTTTCTTATGTTTTGGACATTTAGGATTCCATATCAGTACTGATTTTTGGTTGAGTAGCTTTCATTGTTTTACATGAACACACAGATGATATTAATGTCATCCTTGATGGAGTGTGCTTAGGGGCAATCACAGACATTAACACTAAAACAGAGATTTGTGAACTTGTACAGATAAAATCTATCATCATCTTGGATAGGACATTTCTCAGAGTTCATTAAGACCCCACAGAGGGAAAGTATAGTAAACAACTCTTCAGCACTACAGCAGTGAACTCCAGCTCACAGTGCTGCTCTTGTGTTGAAATGGTGTGATCTTGAGAGAAAATTACATAATGAGTAAAAGTAATGAACTCATTCATATGAAAGCAGTTATATGATGGTCATGAAACAAATACTTTCCAGTGTGGTGGAGTCTTGGGAGACAGAGAAATAAAGAAAATCATACCTGGAAAAATGTACTGCATCACACTGGAAATTCAAGTGGATTGACTGCAAGACACTTGCATTTTATTCCTGAATTTACCCAGATTTGCTGAGGCTGAGTCAAAGCTTCTGGCTCACTATCCTGCTCACCTTCATTCATTTGCAGTCACAGGAATTAGTGGCCTCTGTACTCCTCACCTATCTACACCATTCCTAGTCACATCCTCTTGATGACATCCTTTGGCCTTACAGGCTTCACATCCCAGAGGAGCCCAGATCTTGTATACCTCATTAAAGACATAGTAATTACCCAGGACCTTTCTAGGACCAATTGACCTGAGGGATTTCTAGTGGAGACCAAATACAGTCACTAATCAGTCCTTCATACATATAGGGAAGGTAGATTTTAAACACCAACAACCAAAACAAATAAATAAATAACAGTAACTGGAAAGACAAAGACAAAAAAGAATGGAAAGATTCATACTCATTGACTGTTTAGGTAATGATCAGTATTTCTTCTTCACTGAATCCCACTTTCTTAAGGGGAGAAGGAATATAGGTGACTTGAAAATCAACCCAAATTATTAGGCCTTATTCTCATTGTTAATGATTAATGTGTCTCATACAACAAAACGTTATACCAGAAGTTTTTGTATTTTTGGTTTTGAGCCTACCCTTTACAATAGCCACAAACAACATAAAATATCTTGGGGTATCTCTAACTAAACAAGTGAAAAACCTGTATAACAAGAACTTTCAGTTTTAAAGAAAGAAATTAAAGAAAATAGTAGAAAATGGAAAGATCTCCCATGCTCTCAGATAGGTAGGATCAACATAGTAATAATGGCAATCTTGCCAAAAGCAATCTACAGATTCAATGCAAACCCCATTTAAAAAACCAGCACGATTATTTGCAGACCTTGAAAGGACAATGCTCAACTTTACATGAAAAACAAAATCCCAGGATAGCCAAAACAACCTTGTACAATAAAGGAACTTGCAGAGGCATCACCATCCCTGACTTCAAACTCTACTTTTGTTGTTGTTAAAAGAAGTGGAGCCCAGATAGCTTGGGCAGTATTTATTTATACATTTCATTGGTTTGCATGAACAGTTTTACAATCAGCTTTTACATTCTTTCTTTTTATTTATATTACAATCTTGTTTTACATGTCAATCCAAGCTCCCTTTCCCTCCTCTCTTGCCCTGCCCCACACTAACCCCCTACTTCATCCCTTTTCTGCTCCCCAGATAGGGTGAAGCCTTCCATGAGGTTCTTCAAAGTCTGTCAAATCATTTGGAGCAGGGTCTAGGCCCTCCCCATGAGTGTAGTCTAAGAGAGTACCTTCTATGTGGAATGGGCTCCCAAAATTCATTTGTGCACTAGGAATAAATACTGATATACTACCAGATGCCCCATAGACTGTCAGTCCTCATAACTGACACTCATGTTCAGGGGCTCTGAGCTGGTTCTATGCTGGTAGGAAACCAACATTGTACCGAACCAGACCCCTTAAACGTGGGTGTCAGTTAGGAGGCCTGGGCAGGCTATAGGTCCTTTGATAGTGGAACAGTATTTATCCCTAGTGTTCCAATGGACTTTGGGAGCTCATTCCCCATAGAGGGTTACTCTCTCAGCCTAGTCACATTGGGGAGGGTCTAGCCCCTGCTCCAAATGATGTGACAGACTTTTACGATCCCAAATGGAAGGCCTCACCATCAATGGAGAGCAGAAGGGGCATGGAATGGGGGGTTGGTGGGGGTATAAGAGGGAGAGGGAGTTGGGATTGATAGGTAAAATAAGATTGTTTCTAGTTTAAGTAAAAAAGACATGCAAAAAATGATAACTGGATTTCACATAACTAACCAAGGAAGTAATAAGAAAAAAACAAAACAAAACAACAACAACAACAACAAAAACCCTCAAACACTAGGAAGTCATGTTAAAGGAATGGTGTAAAAACAATTTTTTTTGCTTCAAGAAATACTAAAAATGTTATGCTAATAAATGAAAATGAGTTATAAATACAAAGAGGATTCCATATCGTTAAAAACAAAGTTGAATTTAAGGAGAGTAACGGAAACTTCCAATATGAATTATAATAAAGGAGCTAAAAGGTGGCCTCATAGAAGTAGATTAGCATAGTGGTTGCCAGATGTCAGGGAAGATATGTGAAAGAGGGGATAGGAGGAGATGTCAAATAGTTACAGATGTATACGGGGGTAGGAGAAAGCCATTCAGATGCTGTATAGCATAGTTGGTAGCAATTCATTTCTGCAGAGATGTGTGGAGTGATGTATTTGATTATCTATACAAAGATACTAAACACCTGAGATAAAGGATACATCAGCTGTGCTGACTTGATTATTATCCAGTTTATGCTTGTACTGAAATCTCATGCTCTGCCCCAACACTGTGAATTTAGTCTGTGGCTATTTAAAAATTGATTCTTTTAGAGTAAGGGCATATTAACAGACAATATTGATATGCTAATGTAGTTAGAAAAATAAAGTGAGTTATGGGAACATTTGATGTATGAAATACAGATCAATGGAATAATATCTCAGAAACACTTACATAAAGAAAATATTAAGGCATGAAAAAAAGAAAAACCTGACAATACCAAAAGACAGAAAGACAGTCAATGCTCATGGAGTGGTAGGATTAGTATTACAAGCATAGCTATCTTATCAAAACAATATATTGACTCAATGCAATATGCATAAAATACTAACAAAATTCTTCACAGAAATTAAAAAAATATTAAATTTTATATAGAAACTCAAAAGTTAATATTATCCCAAACAATAAAGGAGTGCTGAAGTTTTCACTATCCCAGATTTAAAGTTATTTTGTAAAACTACAGTAATAAAAGCCAGTACATTACTTGCAAAAGATCACATATACAGATTAAT